CGGCAAAGCATTTTTTTAACGCATGTGTTAAAAGTTCTAAGCAGCAAGTCCCTGTCCAAACCCTATAACTGTAAATGTGATAATTTATTTAGTAATCATTTAACATTAAGTATTTGCTCGCGGTGTCTGGGATTCCTAAAAAGATAACCCTGCTACGATTCCTGCTTTGGTGAAACTGGTGATATGTTACATGGAAGTTTGAACATCACTAAGTGTCTCTACTGGGGGCATACCATTAAAAATCCAAGGTTTGCCGGGCTCGGTGGCTCAGCCTGTAATCCCACGCCTTTGGGAGGCTGAGGTGAGTGGATTGCCTGAGCCCGCGGGTTCGAGACCCGCCTGGGCAGCGAGACCTCATCTCTACAATAAATCAAAAAATCAGCCGGGCGTGGTAGTGCGTGCCTGTAATTCCGGCTACTTGGAAGGCTGAGGCGGAAGGATCGCCGGAGCCCAGCAGGTCGAGGCTGCGGTGGCCGGGAGCGACCACTGCACTCCAGTCTGGGCGACAGAGTGAAACTCCAACTCAAAAAAAAAAAAAAAAAAATCCAAGATTTACCAGGAGTCTCTACATTTTAGGGGAGTAATGGTAAGAATGTAAGAGACGAGAGATACTCTAAACTGAGGTGTGTTTTTGGATGATATGTAGTTCTCAAACAGAAACAGTTATGGGTTGAATTGTGTCATCCCCAAAAAGATATGTTGAAGTTCTAGCCCCCAGTAATTCAGAATGTAATCTTATTTGGAAACTGGGTCTTAACAGAGGTAGTCAAGTTAAAATGAGGTAATTGCGGTCAGTTCTCATCCATTACGATTGGTGTCCTTATAAAAAGGGGAAATGTAAGCACAGATTCACATAGAAGAAAGACAATGTGGAAACACACAGAGAGAATGCCATGTGAAGACAAAGGATTGAAGTGATGCATCTACACGCCAAGGAATGCCTCAGGCTACCAGAAGTTAGGAGAGACCTAGAACCGATCCTTCCCTGGTGCCTTCAGAGGGACCACGGCGCTGGCAACACTCGGATTTTAGACTTCTGGTCTCCAGTCAGAACTGTGAGACAAGACATACCTGTTGGTTTAAGTCACCTAGTTTGCAATACTTGGTTAAAGCAGCTTTGGGAAACTATTACAAGCACCTTCCCAAAACTGTATATGAGGGGAACACTCCCCTCAAAAAGAAATTGTGTTTTGGAGGGTGGACCCCTTGTAATACAGACTTTCCCCACTAGATAACTGTTCTAATCGGCATCAGTGTACCAGCTAGTGTTGTTGTGAGAGACTGCGTTCAGCTTCAGTGAGTATTTGGGGGGAGATTCTTTCAGTGTGTTTGCCCATTTCATGATGGGTGATTTACCAGCACACCTGCTCACACTGTTCTGAGTATTCAGCAGTTTCTGACTAGAAATGGCATGACCCCTATTGTCCCACCCTCCCTATTCACCCGATCCCGCCCCGAGTGACTTTTTTTTTGTTTCCCTGGATGAAAAAAGTCCTCAATGGGAAACATTTTGCCAGTGTGGAAGAGGTGAAACAAAAATAGCAGTAGTACTAAAAGGCATCAACATCAATGAGCTCGAAAACTGTTTTGAGCAGTGGAAAAAGTGTCTTGATAGGTGTATTGCATCAAACAGAGAGGACTTTGAAGGTGACTGAAATTTAAACATGTAAGAATAAATACACAATTTTTTTATTAATAAATTCTGCTTTTTTGACCTGTCTCATCTTTTATTCTTTATATATAGGAGGGTCTTCTGGCTACCAATTTTTCTTTTATCTTTAATGTTTTGACATAGACTTGCATGCTCTTTTGTAAGACCTTAAGAATTCTATCACTGCTTATTTAAAAAATTTAACATTTGATCCATAATGTATGTGAACTATGTCAATGATCAAGTCAACAGATTCTATTTTTCAGGTCCCGTTAAGGTCAATAGGAAAGTCTAAAGCAACACCATTATAAAGAGGGAAGAGGAATTAATGGAAAAGATAACAAAAATACATATTTCAGGAATTAAATCATTTAACATTTTGTAAAGCTATAAAATTATTGGTAAATGCACTCCTTTTATTTTTGCAACTAGTATTAATTGATCACTATATTAAACTCTATCAATCCTTCCTATATTTTTTCAATTTTAAAGATGTGGGGTATAATTCAGGATTAGGTATATAACAGGTAAAGTCTGGGCCTCCCTTTGGTCCTCACCCTATATTTTAAAAACAGTTCTCAAATATGTTAGCTTCCTTTTTTTGCTTGTTTTAAGTTTAGTATCCACTAACCTCCTTTCCATCCAATTAGTGAACAAGTTATAAATTGTCCTAATATCTTGAATTAATAATCACAGTCATTTCCTTTACTTTACTCCCACCTAACTGCGACTTTCTGTTTTCTTAGTTTCTGGCATAACATCTGGCACATAGGAAGTACTCAGCAAGTATTTCTTCAATGTACATGCCAGATGGGAAACCAAATTTCGAAAAGAAATGTTATACAATCACAGTCCAAGGGCAGATGGTTGGTATGTTTTTATGTTTTTTTAAAAGAGTATTTACTCTTGCCATTAAAACTGACTCTTGGCATTGACAACTCTCAACAAAGCACCTTTTTAATGTATTATGTTAAAAAGTATAAATTGCTGTAAAAGCTCTGACAAAGCAGGGATACTTTCTCAATTTGCGAGGCTTGTCTCATGTACCTCTTCCAAGTGTTTAGACTTAATCCTTGCTTTCGGGATAAGCTGCTTGATTAAATGCTATTTATTTCCATGGTCTCTAAGCTGTCCCTTTCTCTTTTTGAATGACTGGCCAAATGACCAGTCCAGTGAGTAAGTTTTAAGATGGCCACTATGATCTTTGCCTTCTGGTAGTCATGCCCTTGTGTTAATCCCCTCACCTCATCCTGAGTGTGGGTGGGACCTGTAACTTGCTTCTAATCAACAGAATATGGCAAAGATGATTGTCACTTTCATGATTATATTACCTAAAACTGTGACCTCTGTTCTTGTTAGCAGTCTCTACTGACTCTCCCTTGCTGGCTTTGATGAAGAAAGCTACCATACGGAGGGGTCCTTCCCTATAACATAACTGGTATTAGTTTTTACTATTGCATAATAAATTACCATAAATTTAGTGGATTAAAACTACATATATTTATTATCTCATAGATTTCATGGGTCAAGAGTCTACGTACTGCTCAACTGCCGTCTCTGCTCAAGATCTCACAAGGCCACAAACAAGGTGTCAGCCAAGGCTGGGGTCTAATCTGAATACTGGGTTCCTCTTCCAGGCTCACTGGTTGTTGCTAGAATTCAGTCCCTTGTAGTTGCAGGATGGAGGCCCTCAGATCTTGGGGATGTCCACCACTCCCCAGCACATGACTCTTTCCATAAATATGGCAGTTGGCTTCTTCAAGGCCAACAAGAAGGCATCTCTGCTGTTTTGAATCTCTATGACTTCTTCCATGTCAGACCTTTAGTGCTTCTTTGAAAAGGCTCACTTTATTTGGTCAGGGTGACCTATGAATATCTCCTTTTTCTTAAAGTCAACTGACAAGGAATTTTAATTACATCTGGAAAATATTTTACCTTTTCCAAATAATGTAACCTAAGTAAGGGAATGGCATGCTATAATATTCACTGGTTCCACCCACAATTCACAAGGAAAAAATTATTCAGGACATGTGGTACCAGCAGGTGAGAACCTAAGGGGCCATCTTAAAATTCTGCCTACCACAACTAGCATGTCTTAGTAACATTTGTGATCTTTACTTCCACTTGACTTCTAGAGTTTATATTTTGATAAAGTATTTTTGCAATACTGTACTACAATTGCAATAGCCAAAATTGTTTGTTACATTTACCTTAATAAAATTAGAATGCTACTGTGTGTAATATTTACACATAAGATGATTTTTTAAGACTTCAAAAGCACATATACTCTGAAATGACATTCTTAAAACTGTTGTGCATGAAACACAAAGATGAAGTTTCTTTCTCTTTGTTTAAATGGGGTAATGGTCACTGATTGAATAAAAAAATGTTTCAGCCACAAACTAGAACGGGCAAAATGAAGGTAGTTTGTTCCATTAAATAAGTAATATCTGTTTTTCGGCAAGCAATGTTTCTATCAGAGTACATTTCACAGCTTTATCCTTCCTGTTTGATAATGCTCCAGTGGCAGAGCAATGTGTGACTGAACCAAACTATACCACTGTCAATGCCAGAGACAGACAGTTGAAATGAGCAAGCCTGGCTATGTTAGGTTCTACTGTGGTGATTGGCATGTTCAAACACTCCTGGATTGTATCACATACTCTGCCAATGTTTTCACACCAAATCACTTCCCTAGAGAAAAGGGTAGGAAGCCAAGAAAGTTCAGCACTCAGTTTCTACACAAAGATGTACTACATACACAGGTATATTGATATTTTCTTTATTTGGGGTAAACCCATTTTGTGCCCTTCAATATTTTCAAATTACATATTTTCCCCATTTTGTCAACTGATAACAAGTACCTGAAAACCGTATTCATATTCATCCTTTTAAACAGTGGAATAGGCCAGATATCGTTTATTAAAATATGTTCTTTACAAATAATTTTGCCTCAGTTTTGAAAAATGGCAAATACATTTAAAAAACTGTAACAGTGTCATGAGATTGCAAATATCACTTTATGAAATTATAAAGAAGTAAAATTGTTTAGTAAAAACTATGAAATATCTTCATTAAATTTTCACATACAAAAATATATTTCTTATTGCAACACTGAACAGTTAAGGCCACAATACTTGAAGGAGAGTTTGAGATACACATGTTTTGAAACTTGTTGAAAATATTAGCATAAATAAATATCAAAGCTGGTCACACTATTTAAATCAAATAAAACGTATTAACTTATATGTTTAAAAGACTATTATCAGAAACTTTCCTTCAGAAGTCACAATGTTTTTCAAGTATAAATTACAGTATGCATGGTGCCCATGAAAACATAAATATATGTTTATAGTATAGTACAATATTTTGACTTTCTCGCCATATCTGATGGTGAATTATTCTGATGATTTTGCCCGATGTGGTTCTGATTGGCATCTTTATTATTGCTTTTAAAATCTATTTGATCTTCTACTGGTTGTAACTCTGTGAGAGGCTCATTACTCGGTGCACTTTTCTGATTTATTAATGGCATCCTTTTGAACAGGAAAAACTAGAAAATATATACACATAAAATTCATTTCAGTGAGGAAAAAATTGACTTAATAGTATATATGGGGTATTATTTTCAACAAGTATGAATATGATTTTATCACATCTTTATGGGGCACCATACAGTCTTAGCAGTCTTATACTATTTTTCCTTTTACCAAAATGCAGTCATGATTCCATCCTAAAATAAGACTTTTCCAGGTCTAACTTTCAACACTATCAACATCTTGGTGATATATTACCTTTTTCTTCAAATAACAAATTTAGTATTTAACTTGAGTTGTAAGAGAAAAAAATATAAAAACTAGAATATTACTTGTTTTCACCTTAAAATGTAACCAGGATAGGTCATTTTCAGGGCATGTCTGTGATTCTGAGTATACTGGCAGCTATAGTGAATTTCTATTGTAATATTCTGAAGAAGAAGGACATATCTCCCCATTTCTATAGATTAGAACTTTTGGCAAAACGTCAGTGCTGCCAAATGATGGTTGAGTGAGCCCTGTGGGTCTGATTTTAGGCAGTTGGCTACAGGCAGCTGCTGCTCAGTGGAGGCCAGAGCTGCAGATATGTAGAATACAGATAATAGCTGGGGAGATGAAAGGAGCCCCAATAACCAGGGATTTCAGGCAGGTGGAATAGAGAATATAAGAGAAAAGACTAAGGAAGAGTCAAGTGTGAGAAGTAACCAGAGGAAGAGGAGCCAGCACTGAAGACTAAGGTTTGTAGGTACAAATTGGGGAAAATGAGGCAACTCAGGAGCCAGGGTGTGGCAGAGAGGGGGCTGATAGCAGTTAAAAGTAATCCTTTTGAAAATCAATTGGCAAGCTCTGAAAACCCACCAGAGCAGTTTTGCTTGAGAAAACCAAATAGCCAAAGACTGAGGGCTTTCAAGGAAATGCAAAAGAGTGACCAATTCACAAACTTACCCAAATCCTCTTTTTTTGAAGTTATCAGTTTACAACCCCTACATGCTCTGCATTTCCCCCATTTGTTCTTTGAAAATCTGATTTTGCTGAGTACAACCTTATAAATTCCAAAGAAAATGTGTAATCGCTCAACATGACCCCACCTTACCTAAACTTAGGTATAAGAGCCCTCTCTTCTCTCCCCAGGGTGCTCAGCCTTACAGCATTAGCTTGCTGAGTCTGCCCCGGCACAAATAAATATGCTACTTCCTAAAACAGGCTTGTTGTCACAGCCTCTCTGTGTTCCCGCTACAAGGGGGAAAATATATAAAGAAGGAAGTGGCCAAAAGGGCCACATGCAGGAAAGATCAAGTGAGAGGATGACAAGCGTTTCATTTGATTTTGACCCTTTAAGGATTTAGCAAGCAAGAAAATAGGATCCTTTTTTTTTTAGATTGGAAAATATAGCCTATTTAGAAAGTAAACTAGAGAGAAGAGAGAGAAGATAGATTGAGAGAACGAGAGAAGAGAGAGAAGATAGAGAGCAAGAGTGAGAGATTCACCTCCCCAAGGTAGGGAAGGAGGCCAAAGCCGAAAATAGAATTCTTAAAGAGTGACGACACAAAGAATGGTTTTGACAAGATGCCAGAACTAAAACAGGAAACAGAAACCAGGTGAAGAGTTGGCTCTTTCAGAAATCAAAACAGTACTAATAATAGCTCATCTTTAGCTTTAAAGAATGGAGAAACCAGAGTAAAAGGTGGTAATCCAAAAATCAGAATCTAGAAAAAGGGTCTATGGATTAAAATGGAAGAACTCCTGTTCCTGCTATGATGAAGGAATACACAATTTAAAAATTCTGCCACTATAAGATACCAAGAAATGCTGAATAATTATAAAAATTATAATTTTACAATAATAGGTAATCTCACAAGTAAATTAAGGAAAATCATTGTGGTCCAAAAAGTGGAGAAGGAGCATGAAGCCTTAGAGGTGAGTGAGTACTGAAACAGCATTTGTTGATCTCATAACTTAGACCCTTAGGTTTTAACAGGTTTGCTCTCACAAAATGTGGGGAATTGGAATAGATCCCTACATAATGCGAAGACCCTCTGGGGACTATGCCCTCTACCTACAAAAAATTGGAAGATAATAAAATAACATGCCTCTTTTGGCCTGGCATTTGGGTGAAGGAAAAGAAATGTTTTGCTAATGTGAGTTTGAGGTTTACATCTACATATTTACAAGGATCACCAGTGTAGATAGGCAACCCTTAACTGAGAAATTAACTTAAAATGGTCTTTTAGCCATTCCAGATTTGGCACAGGCTTACACAAATTCTCTATGGATGACCCTACTCTAATTTAGGCCTTAAAGAATTTCCATAAAAAATTCTGGGTTGAATATGAACTCACATACAAATTTCAAAACACATATAAAAACAAATCACCATTAGCAAGTCAGTCAAAACAACACACATATTTAGACCCCTAAGGATGTCTGACATTGAAATTACTAAATAAAGAATGTAAAACAAGTATGCTTAAATTATTTAAAGGACTAGAATAGAAAACGTAAGTACAAAATAAGATACTAATTTTTAAAAGACCAAATTGGTTTGAAAAAGAACAAAAATAGAACACTTCACTTAAAATGTGAAAAATATAATCACTGAAATTAAAACTCAATAGGTAGGTTAAATAGCAGAGTAGTCTCAGCTGAAAAGAAACTATGACTTTGATGAAATCCCTGAAATTACCCAGAATATCATTTTAACATGGAAAATATGAAAGTATTATTAAAAGACATTATTAAAGGCATAATTAAAGACCTATTATTATGGAAAATATGAAAGTATTATTAAAAGACATAATTAAAGTCTTATTTAAGACATTATTAAAGTCTTATGAAAGTATTATTAAGACATGGGCAACAGAATAAAAAATTATATCAGCATTTGAAAGGGGAGAGAGGAAATATTCAAATATATAAAGGATGAGAATTGTTAAACATATGGTGAAAAACATGAATTCTCAGATTCCAAGAAAGTTAAAATAAAATCCACATCTAAGCATCTCATAGTATACTGAAACACATCAAAGACAAATAATCTTAAAAAGCAGCCAGAGGGGCAACCCCTTTGGGCCCCCTCCCACTGTGGGAGCTTTTCTGTCCTCTCAATAAATCATACTTTCTCACTTAAAAAAAAAAAGCAGCCAGAGAGAAATGACAGGCTATATACAAAGTTATCAATAATCATACTAAAGCAAAATTCTAAACAACATCAATGGGTGCAGATACTAAGAGAAAATAACTGCCAACCAGTCACACTATCATTCAAGAACTATGGTAAAATATATTTTCAAATGAACAGAAACTGAAAGTGTTAACTATCAATAGACATCTATAATATGCACTTCCAAAAGATTTATTCAGGAAGAAGAATAAGAATTTCAGAAAGGACATCTGAAAAAAAAGTAGTATAAAAATAATAAAATAACATACAATTTGTGAAGTCAACATATTTCAAACACTGGGTACCATAACTTGCAAAATGAGAAGGAAGGTGTGATAGATGAAAAAATCTTCTAAGACCTTGGTGTTATTTGGGAAAAAGACAGGAACATTGATTAACTTTAGATTTTAGGTATGCATATTTGAAATTTAAAAGACAAAATCCAGCGGTGTAGGACATTTACAAGAGACACATCTAAAACACAAGTAAAAATAAAAGAATGAAAAAAAGATCTGTCATACAAATGCTAACCAGAGGATGTTAAAAATGTGAAATATCACCTGAAATTCTTCACATGCTTTTAGGTCATTAAACTTATATTAAGAGAGTTCAATTATGTAAATCACCATATAAAAAGTAGAAGCAATTCAATACTTTTGTCTTCATACTAAAAAAGAAAATTCATTTCACTTACCTTCTTGGATGTTTTTATGTCTTTACTTGGTATTGATTCATTATTTTCCAGGACTTCTGAAGAACTGCTCTTTGCATTATCAGGCATATTTCCTACAATTGGATCATTTAAAAATATTAGTTCTAACTAATGAGAAAAAGAAAAGACCTGATGCTTTCAGTGAAAACTCTATGAACCCTGAGTTGTGGGGTAATATGAAAAGAGTTCACTACTGGAATAGTGTACAATGTCTATACTGCATATTTCTTGAAAAGTACCATTAAGGTAAAAAGCTTGGAATAACCTGACTAATGTTGTAAATGTTTAGATGACCAGTATCTAAATACAGCTGCAAGGGTAAAAGTAAATGTTAGTGAAGATTTCTGTAAAATATAAATTACTTAAAAAAATTAACCTAGTTATAATTAAATTCTTCATACTCAAATGGACATGTTATATTTTAGTGTTTTAAATTAATCCACATGTCTTATAGTTCAGTAATGATCTTGTAAAGTATACTTATAAAACATATGCATTCTTTTAATTTACATAATCAACTACTTTTAATTTCTTTTTAGCACTTTAGGCTATATGCTAAGAATACTTAGAGGTGATACATTTTTTAACGTGTTGCCTAAAATATTCTAAAACCTAGTACTCTTTCTACAGAAGTCAGAAAGAACAGGATTAAGGAAACTATTCTTTCCTCAGCTTAAGTTTAGGTCAGATATGAGGTCCTCAAACTTTTAAAACAGGGGGCCAGTTCACTGTCCCTTGAGACCGTTGGAGGGGCGGACTATAGTTTAAAAAAAAAACTATGAAC